CTGTTAGACTGAATTTATATCCAACAAATGGAAATTCTGTATTTTTCACACCTACATATGTATACAAGTGAAAGAAAGACATTGGATATATAAATAAATATTTAATTCTATATTTGAATTCAATGATAAATTGAGTCAGGCTAATGATTAAATTTTTTTCTGTTGGTAATTTTAAGTATAGCTTTGGTAAAATGTTCATTGAATTCAAGTGTAAAATTAAATAATGTTTCGATTGCCATTTTTTTTTTCACATGTTTCCACCATTCTTCTCAAAAGTATAAAATATTTTGGAGTTCGTCCGAGCAAAAGTCACATTCGCAAACCCATTATTAATATGAAATGCTAACCTACTGACGTTGTATTAAGCATTATCAAATGATAACATCATTCAGCTTTAAATACCTAATAAACGATTCATTACTGGCGAAAACGAATACCTTTATTAATCAATATATGTTAACGTCCGCATACGTCCATGTGCACGTATGACTTGTAATGAAAAACCCCATCTGACAGTGTTAGTTTTCTGTTTAATATCTGGATTACAGATAGTACGTTTCAAATTTGGCAAATTAACAATGTCCTACTTTATACATATACATTTTTAGCAGTTTTTAAAAGAAATGTCAAATTTTATAAATATAAGTTTCGATTAACTGAACGTTTCTCTTCTTCTAACAGCTTCAGTAAACTTCAAACTTTTGGATTAATTTGTTTATATCTTTCATATTGTATTAATTAGAAGTACATTTTTTGATATGCAGTGGTTAATATAAGATAGAAGCCCTAGAAAAATACAAATATGTCATTAAGTCTTAATTATTTTAATGTTTTTTTCTGCTATTCAATGCCGTCAGTAGGCACAACAAAATTTAATCCATAATTAGTCTAGCACAGCTGCGTTAGACAATACATCCCTGCCTTTCCATCGAACTTTTAATCTAATTGAATATTTTTATTTTATTTTCCGTGAATTGGGACTCTTCACTTCAATTTATTTCTCCTGTTTTTAGTATTAGAATTATGCAACGCTTTCATTTATCATATTGAAATAATTTTGTTGTTGTTTTAATGCAGAGGTACAAAATGGGTTATTTGCGTTCTGCCAAGTATGAGGAATCGAACACCTGGTTTTAGCGTTTAACAACGTATATATAAAACAAGCTGAGGCACTCGTTCTTTATCTGGATTATGAATGAACTGAAAAAATGTGGGGTGGATGCTATGATAAATACCACACAAATCCTAACTTTGACACAATTTATTTATTACATAACTTATTACTACAGTATTCATTACTACCTCACTAAAGGCTTTGTATAAGCTTTATAAACTCACTGTATATATATATATATATATATACTTAAATATGATATACACTTTGACAGGGTAACTTTGAAGGAAGAGGTAGCAGCCAAACTAGTGGCTGTAGGTGTGCTTTCTATTATCCCCCTTTAACACCCAACTCATAATGTCCTTCTACAGTGTTTCACATGATGAATTATTTGACGATGATTGGCCGTAAAAGTGTCTTACGGTCCGAATTTGAAAGGTCACAGGTAAAAGTAAGAAGTGGGTATAATTCAAGAAACGGCTCTTCATATAAGCTTTATTGTGGCTTTTGGAATAGAAACTTCAACTGAGTTTATGTATTATTGCAATAATAGTGTCCATTTTGTTTCATTGCATTCCTTCGTAAAGATTGCTGGCGCACTCTCTCTCATATGCATAAGACGTTTATATGCCCTCCCCACACTGGGTGAACGTTGTGTTATAGAATATTTAATAAAGTTTTTGTTGTGTAAGAATGTGGCGACATCTATGAATGTAGTTAACCTTAACTAATATCAAATATAATAAATGCTCAGTAACATCAAAAATGGGGATGGAGGGGGTTGTGAACTCACCATTAAGATGCCCCTTATTCTAAATTATTATCCCACATTTTTTATATAGGCACAGCGACCTAGGAATAGCTAGATAATGGATAGACACACAGATTTTTGTGCTTTGTATATATAGACATTGGTTAGGATATTTTTCGATTATTGAATATTATCCTGACAGACAAACAGACAGACAGACACATTTTTGAGCTTTGTATATATATAGACATTGGTTAGGATGTTTTTCGATTATTCAGTATTATCCTGAAGGGGTACATTAAAAGTTGGTGGTGGCTCTCTGAAAAGCTGCAACTCAACGTTGCCATTATCATAACACAGTCCTGGCTTTTCATTGAGATAACTTTTTGCCCTGCAAAAATCACATTCTATAGATCTTCTTCCAATATCGTATGCAGACACTGATTCATAATCGTGATTTGGATCATAATCATAAGCTGTTTTGAAATACGTTATATATCTCCACTCAGCTGTAACAACCTTTCTTTGAGCTTGATATTCTATATCTTTTTCTCCTCAAGCAGCAATATCTGCTACTGATTTTTTCTCTCTTCTTCTTGTCATTCTTCCACGATTTCCTTCTTGTGTGGCAGCAGTTTCATCAGGTGTCTCTTCTTCTGTCAATCCTTTCCCTATCTCGATCTTGTCTTGCAGCAGTTTCATCAGCTGTCTCTTGTGCCATTCTTCTAGCTAATCCTTTCTTTATCTCGATCTTGTCTTGCAGCAGTTTCATCGACTGTCTCTTGTGCTCTTCTTCTAGCTATCCTTTCTTTATCTCGATCTTGTCTTGCAGCAGTTTCATCAGCTGTCTCTTGTGCCATTTTTCTAGCTATCCTTTCTTTATCTCGATCTTGTCTTGCAGCAGTTTCTTTTGCCGTTTCTAGCGATTTCCTTTCTTCCATCCTCTTGGCTATTTTGTGTTTCGTGAACACAATGACTTCAAACCTCGTTTGGGCATCTTGACATAGTTTGTGTATGCACTTCACAAAGTTGACTGTTTAGGACACTACAAAGCAATACTACTTATATATACACAAATATTTATATTACACCTTTACTTACAGTTACTGTGAAAGTCTGTAGAATTAAGGGTACATGTGTTTAGTTTGTCTTCATATGTTTAATTAATTGACGGTCATTGGTCGCGTTAAACAAGTATATATATATATATAAAGCACAAAAGTCTGTGTGGTTGTCTGTTATCTAACTACTCCTCGGTCGTTGAGCCAATCTCAACTAAACCTTATGAGATGATAGTTTGGAAGAAGGAGCATGTTAATGGGGCTCACAACCCCCCTCAACCAATATCATTGCATTTTTTTCAGCACCTATTATCTTTCGTAGATATACAGTCACATATGACGCTACGACTTTACACCAAAAAAAACTTTATTGCAATACAAACTGCTTCATTAGCGTTTAAGTCGCTCTTTATTTGTACAACAAGAACAACAAACCACTAACATGTTTTTGAAAACTGTTACACCAGTAATTCAGCTAGACAAACTGGTTTGATGTATATAGACAGACACCTTATTTTCAGTTACAAAGGCCGATTACGGAAATTGTTTCAACTTGATCAAATAATTTCAAATTTAATTTGGTCAGGTCAGGCGTGCTTTGTAGTCAACTTGCCGGGCTGCGAATGATAAAGTCCAAGGCTCGAGCTTGCAATATGCTGCTGAGTGTGATCTGCACTTTCAACTACGGACATGCTATAAAAAAACATTACCGTCAATATTGCTATTTGGTTAAGAGTATCCGTGTTGGCGGCGGGTGCGATTGACTGGTTAATCTTCTTCTAATCAGCAGTTCTAAATAGGAGTTGCTATGTATGAACCTTGGGTCTCTGATCTGGTTATTTAGTCCATTAGACGTATAAGGTACTATTCTGGTTGAACATTTGCAAAATAATTGACTTTGTTATGAATATTTAAGCGAAACTAAATAATTGGACAAAGCTAAACCTAAAAATTAACAGACATCATTATTTCATTGTAGCCTAACTATGTCTATTCAGAATGATAGTTAGGTATATGCATAAATCCAAAATCTATGGAGTAATTAACAGTATTAAGGATAAAACTTCAAGTTCCAGTCAATAGATCAATACCTACCTATTGTTTCAACAGGATAAGTCAACAGTATTAATATGTTATATAGGACAAAATTTCTAACCAATCCGAGCTCCAGTCAATAGACTAATAATTACCTATTGTTTCAACAAGATACGTGGTATTATGGAAATCAGTTTGAATAAAATAAACAATAGCTATCTATAGCAGCGCAAAATATTTAAAACTAAAATTCCAAGCTAACCTGATTAATCCAATTTTGGGTCTGTGAAGCAATAACCATCTGTAGGCCGTCTTTTCCTTCCAGCCAACATTTCTAGGGTCTTTCCAAAGGAGGCGAACCTGAAATATAAAAATGAATTATTCGTAGTGTGGCTTGAAGAGCGAACCTGAATATATGTGTTTGTTTTATACACTAACATCTTTATTTGTCATCATCTTTACACCTCCCTTTTCCATCTTCTTAAATCCCTGTGTCATTTCTTTAACGGTTTTCATAGTTATATCCTTTTAGTGTAAGGATTAAAACACTTTGAAAGTATGTAAGAATCTGCGTGGGTGGTGTAATAAATAAATGAAAACAACTTTAAATACGACGAAAAATTTGAATAAATAGATTCTGAACTTCGAAGTTCGAGAGGCGTAGTTTATGAGTCCTGCCAAGTTATGTCCAGAAAACCGAAGAAGTGAAAACAGAGAGGAGGGAGTAATACTAGTAACTTAGTTGGTAAAGTGTCTGTCCGGGTAGAAAAAAGTCTCGGGTTTGAATTTCAGTTGTCATTTTTATAAAAATAGTAATAAGCTACCCACTTCATCTTATTCTAAATAACGCTGTCTGCACTTGATTTAGTCTGAATGGTGGGATGTAGAGTCGGTTTTGATCACATGCAAATACACAGATATATTATACATATGTTCATGACTAAATTTTCAAAACTTGCTGTAGAAAGGAGGGGCGGTTTCTGTTGTTATCATACTCTCATTAATAACTTTATAACCTTATAACCCGTTTAGTTTCTTTTGTTATGCATCCTTTTTCCCAGATTAAATTATCAGGTATTCAGTTAGGGTTAAGTTTGAAACCCCTCTGCTGAAAATCTTGATCCTTTGAAAAACTAATATATTTAGGACACAGTATACGCTGACCCAAGATGCAAAACCTAACTAGCAACCTAAGTCTACAAGACAAAAATCTATACTCAAACGATACTCTGTCTCGAAAGTCTCTCATCGTTTCTTACAATACGATACTTTCAAACATGCCCATCGCTAACACAACTGAAAGTCTGTGGGCTTATAGCGCAAAAATCGGGTTTCGATGCTTACGGTAGGCAGTTTTGCACTTAATAACAAAGAAACAAAATAGAAGCTTTTAAATGTTATTAAATATAATCAATGTTTAAAATGTTATCCAGTTATTCTTTTATTAGCATGTTTAACAAAAATATAGCTTTTACTTTATATCAGGTAATTAATAATAGGCTCATTTATATTTCTCATAAGCAATAGTATCATGCTTATTGTTTTAGTGTTGTTGTTTCTAACACTTCATTTTTATTCCACTCGTTACTATATTTCCAATAAGAAGAGTGTACAATATTATTCCAACCACACAAAAAATAACAATACTAGCCCGATACTATTAACTTATGTTTGTTTGTTTGTTTGTAATTAAACGTAAAGCTACACAATGGGCTATCTGTGCTCTGCCCACCCCTCGGGTATCGAAACTCGGATTCTAGCGTTGTAAGTCTGATTATCTTATGACAAATGTAATTGATTATAATCAAGCTTTGCAAACAAAAATGTTAGTGCCATAACAATTATTATTTCCAACTATATTTCCAACTAGAAGAATGGATAATATTATTTAAACAAACAAAAAAATACAATACTAGCTTGATTCTATTATGTTATGACCAATGAGTTAGACGGAAGTTATGTAAATTCGTGATTAATGAAAGGTTACCTTAGGACACGAACATTTACTTTCCTTATACGTAATTGTAAACAAAATACGCCCATAAAAACTGCAATACATAAAATGTGAAACTGAAAATTTCTATGTATCTCCCAATGGACCCAATGAACCTCCATACCAAATTTGGTGAAGATCCATTTACAAGAGGAGACGAAGTGGTAAAGAACGGCCATAAAATCCGCAAAACGCAAAATGCAAAAACTGAAAATTTGTATGTACCTCCGCATTGACGTATCGAACTTCCATACCAATTTTCGTGAAGATCCATTCACACCTTGCGAAGTTGACAGACAACAGAATACTATCATATTTATATAGATACCATTCATTATAATCACGCTTTGCCAGCAAACATTTTAGCGCCATAACAATTATTATTTTAACAAGTGCCTTGTATAAATAGTGTTCTGACCATTACTATGTTTGTTACAACACAGCTGGCTAGATGAACTCTGGTATTGAGCGAAATGCATCGTCAGTAATTAATATGTTGGATATAGTATGGTTGAAATATTATTATACAGCCTTCTTATCGGAAAAACTGAAAGGAACTGAAGTAATATAGTGAGAATAAACAATAAGCCTAATACTTCTGATAAATATAATTGATTATCATTACGCCTCGTCAGCAAAGACGTTCACACAGTAACTTATAGTATTATGTTAATTCAACGAAATTATGATTTAAAGCTAATTTATAATAAATGTTTTATAATAATTAAAAGTTTGATGAAAATATTTTAATATACCTTTAAGCGTACAAAAAATAAATTTAAAATTATAAGTATACCTGGAGTTCTGCTACCACTACTTCGGTATGTCAGAAATTATAGGATAATTTCATTAATGTATACTTACCTCATTTCTTGTGTCACCTGTGTGCCACAAAGAGTTTCGCATCATCTCACCTGGTCCTGTATCAGACTTCACTACTTTCAACTGGACACCTGGCTCTGCAACGGCCCGAAAAGGTGTAGCCTGCCAGTAAGTTTGGGAGTTTTTCTTCCACATTACTGTGTAGAAGTGAGCGTTGTCTTGGTAACTAATCAAAATAAAATGTTGATGTTCTATAATTTCGATTTAGCTCGTGATGAAATTCACTAGAAAAACAACAAATAGTTTAAAAAAATATGTTAAAGTCCTATTACAACATAGCACTTTCTCCATGTAATTAAATCTAGAGCTGAAAATATATGTCTGGTTCAAAACGTAAAGTTAGGCAAGCTTACGAATCGCTAAGCATAATTAAAATTTTGATAAACAATAATAATAAAATAAGTGAAAACAACTCGACTGGAGAATAATATTATTAATCACAGAATTTTAAAATGTATTTTCTTAATATTTTGAGCTCGATGAAGGAGTTTTATTTCCATCAGCCCATGAAAGATTTAATAACCTGTATAAGAAACACTGTAATACTGTTTTATAAATAAAACAATCTGATAACACACTTAGTCCACGAAGCAATAAATGTTTTTTGTTTTGTTGTTAAGTACAGTAAATTCCTTACCTGAAAATAAAACCAACATAATCATCATCAATTTCGGTATCCACAAAGAAAGTCCCCTCAAAATCCACTCCTCCGAAAGCCTGAAAACCTGGAAGTTTCATCTTAATTTCAGTACATTATTCATTTTTACTGTCTTTTTATCATTTAAATATTTTAACGTTAAATTGGAGAACCTAAAACCTATTTTCGTTTGTGCTTACTCTTGTCTTACAGTTTTATTTCACAATGTCACAGGATTCCCCGTTTTCTTGAGAGACTAATATAGTATTCCTGATATTCATACACTCATTGTAGAACAATATTTGCCCTTGGCATCCGAATATCAACTCATGCTTTTATATGGCCCCTTTTTGTACTTGTAGACTAACTTTTTTCATCGTTTTCTTAAATAAAAAAGCATCTCGAAAGTGCCAAATAGTGTACTGCTGATAATGAAAAATCACTGGGGATTTTCAGCTATTCAAAGTTTAAGCTGGAAGGAGTACAAGCGCGAGTACTGAAACGCTGAAGTTCAAGCATTCTAGATCTATCAGGATATATCATATTCGTATACGTTTCATTTTATAAAAGAGTTTATGGATACAATAAAACAATTCATACATTTATTAAAGTTTTATAGATCTGTGCATTTCTCTCCACAAGCCAGGCAATATAACGAATTATGTCGTAATTATTTATATTATCAGAGCTATTTTATTTAACAAAACAGCGTTCTGTAACGTCGTGTTTGGGGTCTCATGACCGTGTATAATACTTAATACGAGTTACTATTAACAACTTGATAAGATCTATATGCCTTTTTCGTTAGCATAAGTTTAACGACACATACACTTAAATTCAGATATAATTTCACATTAACAAACTGAAATAAACAAGATCACGAACTTACAAGCAGGCATAATGTGTCTCAATAAAACAAACATTTATTATGCAATAAATCTACATTTATCGACTGTTAGCGTTAAAATCGGTTTTTATATAAAATATTTTTCGGTTCATGTACATTTATGAAGTTTCAGGGAAATATTGTTTTAAACATATAATTAGGTAGTAAATGTATGTAATCATTTCGCTTTCTTTTCCGACCAATTGTGAATCAAGAAAAAACGTTTCGGATCAATGACGAGATCATAAGAACTCGTCAAGCGAATTAAATTTAGGACACAATATGTTTTGGCGATCTAAACTACTTCTAACAGGAAAAACAAATAAATGAAATAAAATAAAAAATGACTTGCATTTTGTGTAAGGTTTAACTTATTTTACCTTACCTGTACGGTGCATGATCACTCTGTACAAAATGTTTGCTTGTTTACCTTAGTGCCAACCTACAATAGGTTATTAACGCTGTGTCTTAAATTTTGCAGTACAGTAATCTCAGCAAGTATATGGTGTTAAACTCGTAATACCAATACATTTTACCATGAAATATGTTTGTTATAAAGTCATTGACTAACGTCAACATATTCAGTATGAATATAAAATGTTAAGACCTGTAATTTAAATCTGTTTTAAGGGCATAAATTAGCATGAAGTAGGTTTACGATGAAGAAAGAAAAAACGTTAAAATTTCTATATTATATTTTAGAATAATAGTACACAGCATATAAACGCTTCTTCTGTCTATATCTATGTGTGTGTAAGCAATATATATTTATATTATTATTTTTATTATGCAGAGCACCGTGAAATTGTGGTTAAAACTCTGGATTGTCAGATACTAAATCTTTTATTTAGTTATATTTGTTAAAGTTGCATTAAAAGTGTTGCTTTAATGAAATAGTTTCAAATTTAGGCCTATCTAGCAATAAACTGGACATTATTTAGCACGTACCTTCTCCGATTGTACGTCTACAAGGGAAAAAATATTTGTTTAAGTAATTGAAGGCGTAGGAATAGGTGCACCGAAAAGTGGGGAAACAAGGTATGAATGGGTATGTTGTAATAAAACTTCCTCTGTACAACCTCACAAGGGGGCGTGTCCAACATCCAGTACATGCGTACTTCGTTTATTCTTTCTATCCTGTATACAACAAGTCAGGTGGACTAAACTTATCAAACTTAGTTATGATTATCATACAATGACTAGAGGTTTCTGTGAATCGAATTATTGGAGGCAATACGTGTACTATAAAGTCATTTTATAAGACACCAGAAGAATCAAATATTCGTGTAGACCCATAAATTGTATTTTTTTTTCCATTTACAAATTGTATCTCTTTATTCCATTGCATGAGAAGGCAACAGGATTTCGTATGTTAGTTATATAGGAGGATTCAAATACAAAGGTAAAAAATCCTAAGTGGTTTCTATGTAACAACATCATGGATTCGTTACTGTCTGTACAAAAGTTGAAAAATCATATACACACTTTTGTATGTACACATACGTTGTATAATATCATGAACACAGAAAAACGGTGTAGACACGGACCCGAAGTTGGACACGCTCCCTCGTGAGTTTCTACAGAGAAAGTTTTATTACACCACGCCCATTCTTACCTTGTTTCCTCACTTTTTGGTGCATCCATTCCTACACTTTCAATTGCTGTTGTTTTTCCACTTGTTCATGCACTTTTTTCATAGAAAGTGACATGATCTGATGCATCATTCATTCATTGTGTTAATATCCTGTATGTATATCATCAATGTAAGTGTGCATCATACTATTACGCTACGTATTAAATGCTTCATGAATGCAAACTTGATTTAATTTACAATAGTACTACAAATTCTTTGCAAAGGAGCTTAGCTTGTCTTCTAGCCTAGTATAGAGTATGCCTATGAAGTTGGCATACTCTATACTACTCACAATTTCCAGGTATAATCACACAGTACAGTAGATCGAGAAGACCACACCCTTTCACACTCATATTCGACCATACCTACTCAGTATATGGAATAATCGAGCGGACGTTTGTATTTTAAAATGGCATCCCTGTTCAAAGTATTACCTGATGTATGTCAAATAGCTCTTCTTTTTAGAGGATGTTTAGTATAGAAAAACCCTAGCACAGCATGTGACCCCTGTGCTATTGTTCTATTTGGTGCACTGATAACTATGGTAAGTCTGTTTGTTACACAGCTAGAATCTTTCAACAATGTTAGTGAGATTGAGAAATTTGTGGTTTTGTGAATGTTTGGTATATCCTCTGCTGACTTTCTCAAGTGGTTCTATTTTATACATGGTTTTTTTTTCACATACTTTTCAAGTTTTATTATTTGGTTGTTAAAGGTGTGTATGAATAAACAGTTTGTTTTGCATGTATTATGTATCTGCTTCATTCCTATTATAAGTACTACTGTACTTATGATGATACTAATGTAATTTTTCATTGATATTTACATCCAGATATATATATAAATATATATCATCCACTCCCGTTCTTTATTTGTTAATGTAGTTATTTATTAACGTTGAAAACATTTCTATTAGTCAAGCATCATGTAACACGTAACTGTTGGGAAAATTTACACATCAAATCTTGTCCAAATACTGACACATGCGATCCCAAACACAATGATAAAGTATCATTTTATTGACCATGGTTAAGAATGCTTAACGCCACCCGCATACGCTGTTTAATATAACTTCAATTTGTACATTGCATTAAGAGTTAAGAAGTACCTATTAATGTTCCCTAAGTTTTACTGTACAAGTCTGTATTTCATCTCATTGTTATTTGGGTATAAATAATTATATTTCATCTTATTTCTATCTATATTATACCAGCTATGTTTTTGTCTTTGTTATACTATGATTTGCCCTGCTTATTTCTTAAACTTTAATACTATCTATCAGCCATTCAATTAAAATTCAATCTTCTTCTTGAATTTAAAGTAATATTTACTTCAAAATACTGCAAATACATTCAATAAAATCATATTTATGTAAGATAAAAAGATGAAGATAAAAATAGTCTTGTAAACATACTGATTAAGTAAGATACGCCTAAAAAGGCAGCATGTGGATTAAAATAGCAGACTAAAATTAATTGTTTTCTTTTTTCCACCAATATTCAGAAACGGCTTTCTTTAACCTCACTTTTTCTTGTTCTTCGAACATGTCCAAAGCAACGAAAATATAAGATAGAATATAACTTATAGACATAGATTACGTTAATCAATTACCTATGTTGAAATCTATATGTAAAAAAACACACATTCGTAGAACATAAAATTTAAGAAAGCAAATATATATTTACCTTTAGTTTTTAAAGCTATATAAATTTTACAAAATTTCAACTTAAATATATATATATATATATAACATTTTGCAACCCACCAAGCTTAGTATCAAAGCTGAATATACTTTTATCTTACCGACTGCTAGTCCTGGATCACTATTCATAGTCTGGACGATCTCGGCTCCCTGCAGGTGAAAAATATAACTATATCCCACGGTGACCCACAATACAGTTACGACAACAAACAAGTTGTTAAATGTGTACATATACACATAAATTACCTCATGTCACGTTTGAGCACGCCATAGGTTTATCCAAAGTACAATATTACAATTAATGTTTCATGACACATGTTTCCGTGTATCTGTTTCGTTGTCTTTATTTGCCTAGTTTTACCGTCTTCTAGACAAACTGAGACACTACATGCTAAATTTCATAAGTAATTTTATTCCTTATCACAAAATATGAAAAAAAGTTATATTTGTTCCCTATTAATTTCTTCTTATGATAAAGTAGTCTAGATACAAATCTTATATTAACTAGACGTCACACTGAACTATCACATTCTGTATTCTATAAACTAGGAGAATGAACATAGGAAGGAGCTTAATAGTCCTGTAAGTTAACAACAGTAGTTTGGCAGCATTCTTGACCATTTCCTGTGCGTGTAGTTTGTACCTGGTTTATTAACAATTGTTTTGTTTTATTAACCATGCGTGCATATTGGGACATTTTTATTACTGCAGCCTCTTGCTGTGTTCAGAACCTGATTTCTAAAATACAACCGTAGTCAGTTTTCAGTCATGTCAGTACAGCCAGTCCAAATGGCTCCAAACCTCCTTGAATACAGATTTTTGGGCTTTGACATGAAACTTTCGAAATTTTAGGTTTATGTAATGATCTAATATCTTAATTTTCTTGTAAATTCGGTCATCTAGTCTTACCCAATAACACACCATCCGAGAGACTGTATAATATAAGATATAACAAACATCACTAAAACAATAAAAACAAGTATTCTGGAGACGACAGTGTTCCGATTAACTGCATAAAAGAAGAACATTTAGCCAGCATCTTCACCCTAATCTTATGCTTAGAATATGTCTCGCCAATCTGGAAAATAGCACCAGTAGTCATGATATCAAAACCCGATAAGTCGCCAGAGAACCTTGAAAAGTATAGAATAATAATTTTGATAAACACAGTGGGCAAATCACTTGAAAGAATTATCACCAAAAGACAACTAAGTTGTTTTGTATACCAAGCATCTACTCTCAGAATACAAACAGACAAATAATTCACCATCTCATCAAGCTTACTGAAACAATATTAAAAATATAAATATTAATTGTTGTACAATATATGCTTCACTTGGTGTCCATGAAGCCTTTGACTCAGTCTGACATGACGGGATAAGATATATACTTATAATTTCCAAAATCCTTAAACTATATTTGCAATATATTTCCGTTTGTTTGTTTTTTCCTAAATAACGATCCATTAAAATTGAAAGCAAACTGCTGACTCATTCTTAATGTCTGACGGATTGCCTCAAGATTCAATCATCAACCGTCTCCTCCATATCCTATATGTCAGTTATCTTAACCTACCTAACGAAATACACTCTCATACAAAAACCAGTTTACAGATGACATTTCAGAGTGGTGCTTCTCAAAAATCCCATTAAAAGCAGTCAAGTACCTTCAATAAAACCTGGTGCTCCAAATGGAGAGTCATATATACGTAACCCTAAAAAATCAAAATTTTTCATAGAAAACTATGCTGAAGGATGAAAGAAACAAAACATGTCCAAATCAATATATATATATATATATATATAACTCAAATTATCTCTGATTTGAATAAGTAGAGTTGCTTAAACATTCGGTTAACAATAAGTTAAAGCTTGGAATGGTCTATTCTTTCATTAGGGTGTGTGTGCCTATGAG